CAAATCGTATCTTCAGACCGTATGCGTTCTCGCGAAAGCATGTCCGCATTCGAGGGGTGCCAGACGCACAAATCTAGCCTACCAAACGCCTAGCGAAATGCCTGCTCGTCCGTTCAAATGTCATCACAGATTCGTCAAGTAATCCTCAATCTCCTCCTTGCTCAGCTTGCGGAACCTTGGACCAACAGCACCTTCGACACCTTCATATCCTAGCAGATGATTTGCTGGATCACCCACAATACCAATCTCTACCGTGTCACCATTCATCTCACCTTCTATCGTCTCCTTCAGGGTCAACAGAGCAATGTGTATCGCATCTTGCAGCTCCAGCTCCTGAGTATACCTCTTCTCCAAGAAGGTCTTCGCGCTAGTAGCGCCCTTGCCAATAGCTGTTGCCTTCCATGGGAAGTATGAGCCAGACGGATCAACCTGATATAGAGATGGTCCACCCTTTTGTATGCCACCCGTCCGCCTTGAAGCAGCCAGCCTCTTCTGCTCTTCAGGCTCAGCGGTCATCGACTCGACCGGTTCTGGCTCAATACCATCGTCCCACCCAGCAATCAACAGACTCACACCGTAGGGTCTCACACCACCACTTTGTGTAGCTTCCTGCATGACTCTTGCTACATCCTGCACCAAGATCCGGGTGGGTGGGTACTCGTTGTAAATGCGCTTGTAGTTCGTATGGCTGACTTTGCGGGCCTTGTCGACGAGAACGCGGTAATCAGGACCCATTCCACTGTAGACCATGCCGATGTTCGGTGTGACTAGAGAGATCTTGGAAAGAGACTCGGCATCGATTAGAGGGGAAGATGACTTCTTTTCGGTTGCGAGGACGATGCCGTTGGTTGCTATGGTGGGTATTAGTTGAGCTTGTGAGGCGAAGATTCATGGGACCAGAATATACCTTTTATGCCTAGAGATGTGACTCCCTGGTTGACTGCATTGAGGGCATATTCAATCTGCACCAGCTTTCCACTGGGCGAGAAGGTTGTGAGAGAGAATGAGTATCTGTCCGCCATGGCGGAATATCGTTTGGCTTGTGTAGTGGCTCAGCCGTCAATGAAGGGTGTACAGCTGGAGAAGAAAAGCAACGGCGCTGGGAAGAGACTCTGGGCTTCAACTAGGCGCTGTGATGGAGGGCGTGGTAGTCGGTATAGTCAACAATATTGAGACGCACTGGCAAGTGCTGCTTCAAAGACCGCGAGGCTACAACTACTCGCGTCACCATTGAGGCAACAAGGCATCAGGACGTTCCTGCAGCTGCAGATCAGAAACACTAGCAGCATTCTACGCTCAAAGAGCACGAGACTTCACCTTCGATCCTACGAGTACATCTATCTTGACACTATATATTGAATTTCCGCACCCCTAGTTCTCAGATCTCGCATTCATCTGTTGGTATCTGTTCCCGCTCGAAAGGAGCAGACACTGTGTTACAGAAAGCGAATGAAGGACGCCTAGACGGACGAGTCCTCGGCATCCCCGCCAATGGCATGATCACTTGTAGCCAGCTGTTCTCCGGAACATCGGTCTACCAAATGATATCTGGCTGAACAGTTTTACCAAACTCGTACAGAATTGATCGAGGTGATTCCTGGACCATTCTAGTCGCACCTTCCCCGAACATCTGAATCGCAGAGAAAGAGGTCCGAACCATTGTCTGCGACCACGTGTACTCACTTTCGTCTAGTCTACCATCACAGTATACAGCAGCACCGGTCACCAGCCACCATGCAAGCTGCTGAGCATCCGAACCCTGAAGCGAACACTCAACCGTCCGACTCGACCACATGGACATATCCGACACGCTTCTGCAGAATATGTCGAGAAGATGTCCCCGCCACGGTGACAATGTATCCTCCTGGCCTGCCTATGCAATTCCAGACCCCGATTGTCGAGTATCGCAACGATGATGAGTATGGGAGATTGATCAAGCCATGCCATTGCAGAGGTTCATTGAGATACATCCATGAGCTATGCTTGCTACGATCAAGAACAGAGAATAGAAGAGCCGGCTCCATGTGGAAATGCCACGAATGCGGACATCAATTCAACTTCCAGAGATTGGCCATACAACGCTACCTTAGCAACTGGTATACCGTCAGCATCCTGACCGTCATATTCATGGTCACTGTGGTGTTCGCGCTGGGCTTCGTTGCTGATCCCATCATCAACATTTATATGGATCCATACGAAAGCTTGATTGGGGATGAATCAATATGGGACGAGTTAGAATTGAGATCGGTCATGGACAGTCCTGTCTCCCAATGGTCTCAACACTTTGCCAAAGGCTTTATCTCCATGGGCTTAGTCGGCTTCTTGAAGACATTATTTCTTAATCCTTTTCAGTGGGTGAACCTCAGATTAGGTGGCTCCCTATCGTCTACAAGGGCGACAGGCAGGGATCGAGCGATCAACATTAGCTGGATTGCCATTGTCATTGGTGTATGTTCAGCCTTTGCCTTCTTCTACAAATTCGTGCAAGCTATTGTACAAAGGTCGTTGCAGAGAATTGGCAATAACATTGTCGACACTCAACTGCCAGGTGATGATGATGACTTGAAACCACCTTCGGGCTGGAAATATAAGTCGAAAGAGGACGCTGAAAGTCGCACCGGGCAGCCACAGCCAGGTGCTGCGACCTCAGACACAGAGCGCAAGTCGCCTCCTGAAGAGACTACACAGGACATCCCACAGTCAAGTCAAGAGTCTGCCGCAACCGCCGTCCCGCATGTCGAGACAACAAACATTGATGCTACCCAACCCAAAGAAGCCTCTCGGGCACTACCTGAGCGAGACACTTCCACTCCTCTTATGAGCGGATCATGGGTAGACGTCGATACACTGTCCGGTGGAGATGATGACAACACTCTGCCAGGCGTGCACAGGCAAGGCTGGTCGTTCTCAAATCTATAAAGCAATACCATGTGCTATTTCATGCCCTTTGCTGCCCAAGTCAGTCCCCACATTCTCACTAATTCTTTGAACCTTGAACCGCCTAACTTAAGCTTCCAATGTCTATGCTCATATGGCTTGGTAGTTAGTCTCTGTGCGAAGATCCATGTCATCTTGCCTTATCAACATTCGACGTTATGTCTTTCGTTGTGTTTCGGGCTGATGAACAGTCAGCTCTTACCTTATTTCGAGTGTGGTCGACCGCCTATCTGGGTGAGTATGTACTTCCATATCAATTACAAAAGCGCTGGCAAATCCATTTCCTAACAAGCCTTTTTTCATTGACAAGTTATATCACCTCTGTCTGGCTTTTTCCTGCAATGTCTTTTCGTTACAGCGTTCGAATATTGAAGTCTATTTAGCAGAGGCGAGCACGATGTGCTCATTGCAATATGGCCAAAATGCTCGCCTTGTCTGTCTACTACGCATCAGCGAGAAATGTCATCAATAAGCTCTACACCTTTCTTTTCATTGGGGAGGCGAGGAGCTAGTTTTCCACAACGCCATCACATACAATGCTTACCCTCTCATACATCATAATAGATCTTCTTGGTGATCCGACTACAAGCGATAGTGACAAGTTTCACTCCAGGTGAACACCACTACCAGCATCGCGACTGCCTTTGAACACCTGGACAACTTCGTTCCTTCAAGTTCCTTGCCCTATGATCTTACGCAGGCACATTTTTGGTTTAAGTCCAACCTTCACCATGTCATAGCATCACACTTCCCACTTGCGCTTCCCATCACTGCTCTCGACTAACCACTGCAACCATCCGCACTCAACAGAATGACGACGAATTCCAGGACTAGCACCTACGGTATCGACGACTCTTTGAGCCCAAAAGATCGCGAACTCTTCTCCCTATTTCTACAATATCCTGAGATCGACTTCGATAGCGACGAGACCGGCACACCTTCGAACGAACCAGATGCAACACAGTCTGTCGAACTCGACTCCTCTCCTGCAGCAGAACGAGACTCTAATGCCAGTACTCTGATCGACCATTCCAACAGTGAATCAACGCTGACCACGCCTGCGCGTCACTACGATGAGGATGGCGAACATTGCGACGACGACTCAAGAGGACACTGGGACGAATTCGTGCAGCTTATGCAGCAATCAAACCTGCCTCAAGAATGCCTTCAGTACTACACCGCGCTGGGACAGGCTATAGTCAATATTGGCTCGGATCTCTTCAGCACAGTGCGGCCCAACAATCCACATCCCGCACTGCAAACAGCATCATGGCTGCTCAAGAACATCAAATATTCGTCGACTCAAGCGGCAGCCCAGGTCGAAGCAATCAACAAGCTGACGGCTCTGGTGGCTTTCAACGTGACGCCGACAGGACCGCATTTATGGACGACATACATGCAGCGGGCTAAGCTTATCACGGCGTAAGTCTTGAGACATTTCTCAGCTACGAACAATGACTGACCAGAGTGCTCCAGCAACTTAGCACTTCCTTCAAAGCACGAAGCCGACCTCATCAACTCCCTGGTATTCATGTATGATGTCTATGTCTACAACGAGTTCATACAAACACTTGGCCTCAACCTCATCGACGAACATACTGGCGCCGTACTCAACAACATCTACCACACCCTCATGGCCTGGACACATAACTACAAAATATGGTGCAAAGGCATGGCAGAACTTAGACACAAATACATGCGACCTTTGATCGACGAGTTCACGAAACACTCAGATGCTCAGGATGAGCTGAACGATTTTCAGGAGAGAATTACAAAAGCCAAACAGGCATTGACGAGGCCGATTGATAGTACGGTTGACCTGTCGGAAAAGGTCGTGCAAACGCTGAATCTGAGTGCGAGAAGGAAAGATGGTGCTACGGGGTTGAAGAGGAGTAGGACCAGGTATAAAAGGGAGCACACGTTGTGATTGCGCGGTGCCACAGTGGTTCCGGAGAGGCGACACTATCAATTTCGTTCTCACTCGAGCTACGCTGAAATTCCTCCGTCATTGTTCAAAGGCTACTAGCCCAGCAAATCCAAAAAGGAAAAGAAAAAGAATATCATGCCGTCAGTCTGGATCGAACAGACGACCTTAAGCTTTTCTGAAGAGGACAAAGGTAATGCACTTTTCTCCTCCTTTGTCCCGCTTATTCTTCAGGCTCACGCTCTCCCACTGAGCTATAACGGCTTTGCTGGTGAATTTGGTACCAAATACTGTGGACTCGAATATATACGTTTGTGTTGTGGTTGTACCAAGTATGGTTTTCATTGTCAGACAAAGAACTCGGGGCTCTTCTGCCGCAACACTGAGCCACCTACCCCTACCCATCAACCTAGTCTCCTCAATCAACCCATGTACATCCCTGATCATCCGCCTCCGATTCCATTGGGCAAGAGAAGCCCAGCCATAAACAACATTCTAAATAGCTTAATAGAACATCCTATTCCTCACACCAAACCCCTAGCTAAACCCACACCATGCCTCCCCACCCTCCAAACACCCCCAACAACAGCAATACCACACCTCACCCCAACAAACGCCATAACCCCCATCCCCATTATTCCCAGTACAAAAGCCCTCAAATTCGTCCTCTCAACCCCACTCACAGCCCCATCCCTCATCTCCTCATGCTCCCCCTTATACGTCACCGTATCAAACATAGGCACATACTTGAACTCGAAACTCGTTTCCTCCCCCTTCAACCCAAACTTTGACTCAACAATCAACTGCCAGAATATTCGTTTCAAGTTCGCGACTTTGCGTTTATCTAAATAATCGATAGAGCGGTTGAGATAGCATATGAACATGAAGAGGATGCATTGGCCTGCGACGAGGCAGGTATGGTAGGTTGAGGGTCTACCCAGGCCCAGCGCATCGCAGAGTTCGGACCCATTCAACCAGCGTGCGTTCGCCTCGAGGAAAGACCGACTCGCATAAGCGGGCGGTTGATTCTCCAGCGCGCGGATGATGTTATTCGCTAATGTCTGACTTGTCTGAGATGGGTTTATCTCATTCATGAGTAGACTCTCCATCATGCTTTTCGCACGGGCGGGCGTAGAGAAGTAGGATGTTGGCGTCCCGATGTAGTGCGCTATCAACCGCCAGAGGGCGATGTAGTCTTCTATTTCCTGCTGGCGGAGGAAGATTCCTTGGCGGGGGAGGGAGAGCCAGATGATCGTGCCGCTGAAGGTGCCGATTGTGGCGATGCTGTCGAGGTCGTTTATCGGGATGCCGTATTTTTGGACGTCGTAGTAGGATGGACGTGTCTTGGTGAGTTTTAGGATTCGTTGGCGGACGGAGGCGTGGAGGAGACGGACGCGGATACTACTTGCGAACCCCTCGCCGCCTGGCTGGATAGATTCAAGAGACCGTGTACATTGCAGGATATGCTGCGTTGTTTCAAACAGCCTGTGACGCGCAACGTTCACGCCGAAACCGCCGGTGCGCGCGAGGACTTCGACGACGCGGTTGGCGCCCATGCCGCCGAGGAGGGATTGGTAGGCTAGACCGGTGAGGGTTGCGCCGCCGTAGCGGTAGAAGACGTCTTGGCCGCGGGCGATTTGGGCCCAGTCGACCCAGGGGGGGACGGTGTTGACTTGGGTCCATAGGGCGGTTAGTCTGGGGTCGCGGTGGTGGTTGTTTTTGAGGAGGTCGTAGAGGTCGCGCTTGGGTTTTGGTTTGTTGGTTGGGGAGGGGGGTTCGCCGGTGTGGCCTTCGGTGGATTTGCGGTCGGGGACTGTTGATGGGACATCTTGGGGTTTGTCGTTTTGGGGGTGGAAGGTGGTGCCGGTGGTGGGAGGAGGGAACAGCTCGTTGAGAGCGTCTAATGCGTCCTCACCTAGGACATCGTAAGAGTGCTTTAGTGGGTGGGCTTGTTCGGGTGTAAGGTGGTCTGGGGTGAGATCGAAGGTATAGCCCCAGCATGTTCGGGTGTCAGCTGTTCGACGTCGGAAGGGGTTTGGCCATGCCATGGTCTGATTGGGGATGGTAGCTAGGGATTGTGATAGACGGCATGATTGCTGGTATGTACCAAGAACACGTAGTGGCGAGCGAGATTCTAGGTCGTCACGAGTCAGATCTGAAGATCCGCGGATCTGGGCATGTGGACATGTGAAAGACCTCGATCTGACCAATCGGAGTAGAGCTGGCCTTGAGCATGTATTTGTTCAGTCTGTTTCCCACTTATCCTGCCTCCTGGTACCGATTGTGCTCTTTCGCATTCTTCTGCTTCGTATCTGGGGGCCGTGGAACATACCCACCGCTGGCATGAGCAACACAAGCCGCCTTAATAGGCGACTTCTCCTGGCTGTGCTCCGAGTACCCACACCCCTATCGGCAAGCCTATACCGACATCAGCATGCAATTGACTGGGTGCGTACAATCACTAGCAGCAGAGTCTGCCATCAGGGCGCGCCTACCATATCCTTCGGGGTCGAGAATGATGCAGTAATAGCGCCATATATGTCCAGCTCAGGCAAGAAGAACATCAAAGCAAAAAAGACCAGCGGCAAGTCATCCACTCGTACAGCGCATGTCAAACGCGAAAAGAGTCCTGTCAAACAAACAACCAGTCCCTCGGCTGCAGCAGATGACTACGAGATAGGCGGGTTCATCGATCGTTCGAAGCCAAAGCAGACACCACAGAAAGTTGAGGCTACTACAGGAGACCGAAACCCAGCTACTCCCAAGCCGAAGTCGAAGGCAAAGAAACCAAAAGAGTTGGCACCGTGGCAGCATAAGATGAACCAACGCCTGCACCAGGCAACAGTGAACGGGGCAGCAGTGAGACAGCAACACGGCGTACCGAAGGAGGAGTCCGTGCTCGTAGGAGACAATAAGGCGGGTCGAGCCAGGGCGTTTGAGGATAGGCGAGTCAAGGAGGCAAGTCGAACTCAGAGCCTGCCCAGAGACCGAGCGCCAGATGCCTCCCAGCCACGTCCAAAGCTGGACAAATGGGCCGAGCACAAAAATTCATTGAAGGAGAAATTTCCTGAAGGTTGGGCGCCACGCAAGAAGTTGTCACCGGATGCGATGGAGGGGATACGCGGTCTGCATGAGCAGGATCCGAACAAGTACAGTACGCCTGTCCTGGCTGAACAGTTCAAGGTTAGTCCTGAGGCGATCAGGCGGATACTGAAGAGTAGATGGTTACCTAAGGCTGGTCCAGAGAAGATGGAAGAGCGCAGGGAGAGATGGGCGAAACGGCACGATAGGATTTGGGATCAACAAGCTGAGTTGGGGTTGAGACCGCAGAGGAAGAAGGAGACGAATGTGGAAGATCCGGAGAAGTTTGAGAAGGAGATGGTGAGGAAGGAGATACTGGGGAATGTGTGAGGTATTCTGTTTGGCGCATCGTTTCAGGATCAGAGACGATCTCGTCAGCATATACGTGGATACGGACTCCTGCCAGTCGGGGCAGGTGCGGGATCAGCGTAGCCGGCACTGATCACCATTGAAGTCAAAAGCTTTACGAGCTCGGACGCTATCGATCTCAACTCTAATATCTCCAGTTCATACACGGTGCAGGTCGCTCAGAGCAAGCCGGCACTTGCACCAGTGGAGTGCGTTCTTCCAGGTTCGTCCGGAGACCACCACAGAGGCGAGAAAAAACCTTCGAGTATCGGCAGAACAGAATGTTTCGACGTCAATCAAAGTCCACGCCCCAAAGGGGCCGGATTCGAAGCTCAAGATTAGGCTGGCACCCACCAATCAACCAATTTACGAGAACCCGGTATGCCAACCATTTTTTGTGCGGCAAAAAGATGACAGCCGGACTCGAACCGACAACCTTCTAAGAACTCCACCGATGCAGGAGCGACTACCCTCAGGTGACCCCCAACGCACTGCATTATTTTCGGTGCCCGGGCGGTGCGTCACACCCGGATCATCAGAGTCAGATGCTCTACCCGATTGAGCCATGTCATCTTGTTGTGGGAGGTATGTTGGGTGTGAAGTATATGAGGGTTTGAGGACGGATGTGGGAGTGGCGGGTTGGATGGGGAGGAAGACAAAGGAGGTTTTGTGGTTGAGGTGGAAACAAAGGAGGAATTGCTTTGTTAGATGTGGTGGTGCGGGTCGATGGCTGGCTCGGTCTTAGTAATATGAGCGTTGAACAATGGGACGACTTCAACATGATGTGTTCGAGTACTCCTGTGGTGAGGACATGCGAACCTTCGCAGTGGCTCGTTGCGAAAGTAGTGACAGAGATGTTCAATGCTCACGCATGAATCGTTGGGTCGATCAGATTGTCTCACGTCGGTTTTGAATAATTTGAGTCTGAGCTTACCAATCTTCTGCAGCTGAAAGAGCCACGAATACATCGCCAAGAGCCACCTATACGACACTTCAAGCTCATACAGTCGCACGACGACAGCCAGGAAACTGATGAATTGCTTATGCACCGCGAACCTCGCCTCCGTGGAGTGCAAGGAACAGGCTGTGGACATTGCCGAATCATACAACGCCGACACGATTCATGCATCTACATTCGAGCTGCAGTGAGTCTGATCGTCGCATGCTTGGTCAAGAGAATCTCCTGAGTTATGTTCGTCGGGAAGCATAAAGGCGAGAGCGAAATCGGGTAGGAATTGGGCGTTGTCGCTCCATTTCAAGGAATATTGTGGATATCGCTGGGGAGAGCAGCGAGATTGTTTCTAGCAATGCAGCAGGTGCTGTTATCACTAGGTAGACCACTGGCAGGAACATTACCAGAGAGCTTTCTTCCCATGACGCTTGGTCACCGAGATGGTAGGAGAAGAGCTGGATGGTGAACCGTGAGTGAATGGGGGCAGATACTTGCGCTATCTGATACCCTGCCAATGACCGCAGGTTTCCTACAGGTCAGTCGACCAGTGGAAAGACCGGAATAGATGCTCCCGCGGTTGAAAGGCGCAGACTGAAGGTATGTATTTGTGGGCATCATAGGTCAGTAAAATGACACGAACACCTAGCCTTCTGGCCAAGGGAGGCATTGTTATCATCGATGCATCGTTATCATCGGTGCATCGGACAAGCCTGACTCTGCTGGCCGACTGCGCCGTCCTCGTCGTTTGATTGACCAAGAACCAACGATCACCGTGCCACTGGGACCGCGGTAGAGTTCGCGAACGAAGATGGAGGCGAGCATAGACGGTCAAAGGACACCAAGATTCAGCGATCAAGGAAATTTTGGTAATGCTCGTCCGAGC